AAAAAAAAACCCCAAATTAACTGAAAAACAACAAAGTAAAACTTTGCTTCAGTAAGCAATCTTTTCTCTGTCCACATAGTGACTAATACTAATAAGAATAGCAGCGACATACTAATATGAAGTCATGTGAGTGATTTACAGAAGTCTGCTTTTTCTAGCTGGCCACAGTCTCATTCTATTGATGCTTGGAAGGCTCTTCTGCTCAGTCTGCACATATATGGGCCAGTTTGCATCGTATTTTATTTTTACATATAAGTACTTCATATGTATGGGAAGTGGATAGAGAAGTTAAATTCCTTGTGTAAACATCAGACAGTAATTCTGTTTGAGCAAATGGTTGCAGAGTAGATTTTGTATTTATGTCACCCCTTCAGATTGCTAAGGGAAATTTATTTTCCTAAAAGGAAATTAAGTCAGGGCAAAAAATATATTATAAATGTTAGATTTAATTAGTCAAGAAGCAGAAGGAGCATTACAGATGACCAAGCACAATGAATTATTTTCAACTATCTGGTGTCCAGTAACCCCTCTTGTGATCAGGTCATAAGATAGTCCATAAATTCACAATGTGCAAGACAATGTTATATGAATAAAACATTAAGTTTTTTAGAAATTGAAGGTTGTTAGAGAAAATCTGAGCAGAAAATAGACTGAATAGCCTAAATATACCAGCAGCTGGGGTTAAGCTGCGGGCCTCAGAGTTTTGCATGCCCGGGTGTTGTCAGCTGTGGAGAGAGAGGATCCCGGCCCATTTGCTGGATGCCCTTCATGTCTAAGCCCTGTCAGTGGTGGATCCATATTGTGTCTCCATGCATGTGTGTGTGTGCATGGCTGTGAGCAAGGAGGGATCTGTACCAGCAACTGCAGGTGCAGGGGCTTTTATGTCCAGGTGCCAGTGACTGGAGAGATGGGGATTCAGAGGCAGCTACTGGGCAGACTGGGTGTTTGAGTGCAGCTGCTGGAGGGATCCACCTTGTACGTTTGTACTGACATAGTTCCCACTAACAAACCTTCATCTTGGTCATCGTCAGCCAGAGAGGGGAACAGGATGAGGCTGTTGTTGCTGTTTGCATTTATGTATGTGCCGAGTGTGTCTATGCTGATTTGTGTGGCCAGCCGTGTATATACGTGCTATAGGTGGGTGTCTGTACTTATGCCTACTGGGAATACATGCTCAGACTCACTGCTGGTTGGACGTCTGGGCAAGGAGCTCTGGGAGCTCTGTCTCTCAGGCTGCTGGATTTGGCAACTCCTAATACCTAGAAAGTTTCAAGTCTGTTATGCTTATACTTCATCATACATCTGTGGGCATTAGGAAGAAACCGAATCCCTTATATTTGTAACATTTACGTTACAATAGCTACAGCAGCATGTCTGAAGCTTAACCCTCAGGGTAGTTGCTAGAATTACCAACAATTGTGTGAAATAAGGCTGCACGTGCATTATTCTTGTTAGTTTCTTGTTCTTTGCTCCATCCCATGTGCTGTTGTTATTTTCATCTGCTGCAGAAGACAGAAGTCTTTGTCCCTTCAAATCCTGACCAGGAAAACTCAGTCATCCTCTACTCTCCTGTCTTCAACACTGAAAAGCAACCCCTGATCAGCAAGGCACATCAAACTCTGTTGCCTTAAACTTAAGGATTTTTAGAGTGTTCCAACTGTGTGTATAACACACAACATTTAGAGAGATCCTCAGTTTCCTACCTATCTCATGGGCCTTTGTACCCGTTTGCCTGAATGCCTCTCTAACATTCAACACAGGTTCTGCTCCTAGCACCTCTGTTCCATGCACAGTACAGCAAAAAAATGAAGACCCCTCTGGGTAGGACAGCTCATTCCCTCTGCCTTGCCAAAAATACAGAAACCAAACAAACCCCATACCCAAAACAGCCACCAAAAAACTTGCAAGCCCAAGCAAAAATTGTAAGCCTCTGAAAGGCTGAATTTAAAAATTCTCTATATGGGCTTCCATCTTTCCTGACCTACTTGGCTAAGCACTGTGATAACAGGTGAGGGTATGGCCTAGGTGCTGGCAAGGAACTGGTCCAGTTACCAGTAACTTTGTGGAGGCTGGTGTGCCTTACTGAGCTCTTACCATATTGAGGACTGGAGGAGAAAGAGGATCCAGTGCTAGAAGATGACATTATGACTTGATCAAAAATAAGGCATGGTTTGTTTCCTGCAGTGTGACTTGTAATTTATCTCTTCTGATCTGTATCAAAAATGATACTATTCAAGAAAACATCTGAGGTTTAGCCACAGTAGCAGACGGGGTTACATCTGCAAAGGAGTTGCCTATTTTGGCTACTTTGAATTGCAATTAAAAACTGTTGCAACTGCAATTCATGTAGTAGGAAGACTTAGGAAACAAAGTACTTGACTTCTTTGTGAAGTAACCCTTTTAAAAGTAGTAATTATAGTATATTATCCATTGAGGTTTGAAATATCTACCTTTCAAAACATTTAATGACAGTTTCAGTTTAAGGAAACGGCTTAAAGCAATTAACAAAAGACTTCTGCCTACAAATGCCATATAATTGTTTTATTTTGCAGTTTTATAAAATAGAACTTTGCATTTGGTTTGTGTAGCAAGGTTTTGGTAGCTGGAGGGCTGCAAGGGGTGACTTCTGTGGGAAGATGCCTGAAGCCTCCCCCATGTCCCATACAGCCAATGCCATCCAGCTCCAAGGCAGACCCACCACTGGCCAAGTCCAAGACCATCAGTGGTAGCACCTCTGTGATAACATAGTTAAGAAAGGGGGAAAAAACATGCTGTGCAACAGCAACTGCAGCCAGAGACAGGAGTGAGAATATTTGAGAGAAACAACTCTGCAAACACTGACATCAGTGAAGAAGGAGGGGGAGGAGGTGCTCCAGGCACTGGAGCAGAGATTCCCCTCCAGCCTGTAGCAAAAACCATGGTGAGGCAGGCTGCACCCCTGCAGCCCACAGAGGACCCCCAACTGGAGCAAGTGGATGCGCCCAAAGGAGTCTGTGATCCCCATGGAAGGCCAATATTGGAGCAGGCTCCTGGTAGGACCTGTGGACCCCTGGAGAGAGAGGAGTCCACAATGGAGCAGATTTGCTGTCAGAACTTGTGACCCCATGGAAGGGACCCACACCGGAACAGTTTGCGATGAACTGCAGCCCACGGGAAGGACTCGCACTGGAGAAATTCATGCAGGACTGTCTCCTGTGGAATGGACCCCACACTGGAGCAGGGGAAGAGTGTGAGGAGTGCTCCCCCCCCCGAGGAGGAAGGAACAGCAGAAATGTGTGTTGAACTGACTACAACCTCCACTGTTCCCCTGCACCACTAGAGGGAAGGAGGTAGAGAAGTTAAGAGTGAAGTTGGTCCCGGGAAAAAGGGAAGGGTGCAGAGGGAGGTGTTTTAAGATTTGTTCTTATTTCTCATTACTCTACTCTGACTTTTGATTGGCATCAAATTAATTTATTTTCCTCAAGTCAAATCTGTTTTGCTTTCAACAGTAATTGGTGAGTGATGTCTTCCTGTCCCAATCTTTACCAATGAGCCCTTCACTGTGTTTATTCTCCCCCCATCCAGTTAAGGAAGGGGAGTGATAGAGCAGCTTGGTGGGCACTTGGCATCCAGCTACAGTCAATCCACCAGAAACGTACATAAACACTTGCCTAATCAGGAGCAAATAATGATTCATAAGAAAATTTGATAAGCAATAGGAATGATGTATTTTATAAAAAGCTTATATACTTAAGGAAGTTACAGCATAATAACAAAGAGGCTGTACAGGGTAAAGCTAAAAATAGATACTTTTTACTCAGTTTTTGAAGGGCAGCAAATCAACAGAGCAGGGACTGATTTACAAAGGAAAGAAATTGGAGGAAGAAACTGCAGTAATAGCCACATAGTATCTAATGATGACACACCAGGCCTCAGTGAGCAAAGGAAGTAACAAGTTGAAAACTGAGCGAATCATATCATGGGTATGGCAATATTGAATGGAACCTGACTTTTATCCAGTTTTATTAGAAAGTTGACTGATCATTTAAAAACAAAAACAACAAACAAAACTAACAAAAAACCAAAAAGTGAACTTATGAGTTAAAACCAAAATAATATACATACAAATCTACCTCAGCGGACTTGCCTAGTTAAAGAGATAAACTTCAGCTTCACAAGCACGTTATTTGTTAAAAACAGTATAGTAAAAGAATTTTGTAAAAATCTTAAGTCAGAACACATTACACAATTGTTAACATTACTAGACTGGCTTAAGTATCCCAAATAAAGAATGCCTTCCAAAACAGTGTTAAATGAGAAAATATATAATGAATACTGAGAAAATAATCAAATTTGAGAGATAGATAACAATATTAATCTATTATGTGGGAAAGGTAGCACTACTGCTGTTTATGTAAATTACATAAGATATTCTCCATATCTTAACACAGTGCCCATACCTGTGTAAGAGTGCAAAGAGGAAGAACACTCTTACCTAACAGCAACTATATTAATCTAGTGTCCTTGGTCTGCATCATTGGTTTTCCTGGAAATGCAGGTGGGAAGAAGAAAGGCTTAAGAAGGCAAGGAAAAAAATCCACCCCATCTGCATATGCAGGCAAATAACAGGCAGAACACCCCATCCAGACTGCAGCGAGTGTGACTGGGCTCATGGCACAATCCTCAGAATAGTGTGGCTAAACCAAGTGGAAACAGCAGAAGCCCACAGAGGCAGAAAAGGCAGCATCAGAAGTCCTGTGCAGCACTTTCCATGATGTGGCTTCAGATGCATTGCCTGATGTATTTATTATCGTGCTCTACTGTTGGAAAAACATTGTTCCTATTCACCATGTCCTTCAGATTCTGGGTTTTCATTAAGAGGAAAAGCAGTAACTAATAGCAGCACTGATGCAAAGGCTTTGTCACAGTGATGATCAGAGGATGTTCTTAATCCACCAACACCTGTGAAGTGTTAGCTGTTACAAAAGCATCCACTTCAAAAACAGTGTTAAAAGCACAGCTCAGTACAAAAAAGGGATCACGATTTTTCTGTGCTTTGGGTAGTCTTCAAATTTCTCTAGGTACCATCTGAAAAACAAAGACAGAAATCTGATGAGTATTGAGTCTCCAAAATGCTGTCAAGGAAATTAAGAAATTGTACATTGTGTTCCATTTAATCCATATATTTTCTGGCTACAAACCAGAAAAATGCCTTTGGAACCTACTCTGGATAGAAAACTGCCATTTACCACACTCATCCTAATGACCAACCACAGTGAAACAAAGTTACTGCTGCCAGCAATGGGAAATCAAACTAACCCATGTGGCAAAAGCAGCCAGGGAAGGGTTGCAAGGTGCATGTTGCTATGCATCCTAAGCATTTGTATTTTAGGAGTAAAGGGGAAAAAAAAAAAATCAACAAACATTGAAGGGGTTAACACATCAAATTGTATGATTACTTCCTGTGGAAGCAAGCGATACTTCACATACTGGAACAGTCCTGTGTATCTTCAGTTCCAGTAAGGATCTGGATAATCAAACTTAATGTGACAAACATCACACTAGCCTGACTGCTAACCCCTTTCAAAGACTATCACTATTTTCAAATCCAGACAATTAAAAAAAATGCACAGTGCTACAAAGTGTTATTATTTGTCTGGACACCTTATATAACACATACAATTACTCCCATTTGCAATTATTTTTTTCTTCTGCTTCTCTAAACTTCATCTGGGCTTCTCGAAGATGCAGGTGTTCATATTGTCAATAACTAACTGCAAGGTGAAAGATGGAATAAACAGAGAGCAAAACATGCAATGCATGACTATCTGCGGCTGTGGAATACCAGCATTAAACTACTCATCTTTTCAGTCATTTATTCTAAGTTTTACAAACTAAACAGGTTGCAATGTATTTCTAAACTTACATGGATTTGCTATTTTTAGTTGGATTTTTTTTCTGTACTCCTCTCCCATGTTTTGCATTAAAGGAAAAAAGCTTATTACTTCCTGTAACAACCTTAAGCTTTTGATTATGCTCTGCAGGTCTAGAGCTCTGAATGAGTGCTGTCAAGGCTTGAGATAGACTGAAACCAACCATGGAATTTGAGCCTGATGAACATAATACATGAAGAGAGGCTAAGAAACCAGGCATTGCTCAATCTAGTGAGGAAGAGACTAAGAGGCCCGGTCATTGCTGCCTGCAAGGAGAGTGATTTAAGACAATGGAGCAAAACTATGAATGAAATAAAAAACTCTTGCAGCTGGAATGCAATGGCCCCACGCAGCAGTGCAGGGCAGAGACTAACTAGACAGCAGCTCTGTACAAAAGGACATGGGCATCCTGGCAGACAGGTTGACCATGAGTCAATAATGAATCCATGCAATGATGAAGGCTAACTGCATACTGGGCTGCTTTAACAAGTACAGGGCCACCAAGTCAAGGGAAGTGCTTACTCTCCACTATTCAGCAGTTGAGAGCCTGCGTCTGCATTACTGTCTCCAGTTTTTGGTTTCCAATGCAACAGAGAAGGCCACAAACTGGAGAAGAATCCAGCAGATGGTCATTAAGACAACTGCATAGCTAGAATACATGATATAAGAGGAAAAGTTGAGGATTGTAAGCTTGTTCAGCTTGGAAAAGAAGTTAAGAGGCAGATCTAATTGCAGTCTTCTACTAGCTACAGCGATACTAGAGAAGACAGAGCCATACCCTTCCCAGAGGCACACACCAAGGGGACAAGTGGCAGAGGATAAAAGTTGCAACAAGGAAAATTCCAACTGGACTTAAAGAAAAAAACCTCTTCCTCACAAGAATGAGAAAAATCCATTCCAGTGCTTTGCCAGATACATGCTGAAACCTCCAACCTTGGAGACACTCAGAACTCAACTAGATGAGGCGCTGGGCAACCTGGTATAACCTTGCGATTAGCCCTGCTTCGAGCAGGTCACACCAGATGACTGGATTGGACATGCTTCAGATGCTCCTCCCAACCTAAGCTACTCTGCAACTCTGCTCAGTAACAGCAGGTGGTAAAACAAGGAGAGATGGTCACAGGCAACAAGTTTGCAAAGTTCAGGCAGGTTGGATAGTAGGAAAAACTTGTTGACTGGGAAGGTAACACAGAGTTGGAACACCCCAGAAACAAGATGCAGGAAAAACTACATTTCTGGAGGTTTTCAAGACTCCACTAGACATAGCCATGGCTGCCTTGTAAGACTGCTAGCAATGGCATTTTTTTTCCAGCCTATTTCTTCCATAAATTCAGGTTTATTTCCTCTTATGCCACTTAGTTTTAGCATAAGACCTAAAGCAGGAAGCTGAAAATAACCGAAATAAGATTAAGGTGTTCAAATTCTTTTAAACTTTCTATTCCTTAAAGAGAATACTTTCAAGAAACAAGTCTTCTCAAATTATGATCCTTCTGTTAGCAGGAAAGCTGCATTGTGAATACAGCACATTAGCAGACAGTTTAACTACAGAGCAGAGACTTTATTAAATGTTAGCTACCAGAACTGTTTTCATGTTGTTTATACACTTGATTATAGACAATATGATACAGACTTTATAGTCAAGGGTGCCTGTAACAGAAGCCAGAGTGATTTTCAAAATTTTGATATTATAGAAACAAGGTTGAGCTGCAAGGGTTTATAGTATATGTATATATGCATATAGTATAAGATCAAGTAAAGAATTTTCCCAAATGTGTCTATAATCTTTACAGGTGTAGGATGAATGATACTCATTTAAAAGCCACTATTTTGACCATCTCATCTTACACTGTGTTTATGTTCCTTATTTTTAGCACTATCCCTTTGAAATTCTGCAGTGCTTAATACTACTTAGAGTATTCTCTATCATATTCTCCACTACAGTAGCAGTCTTTCATAAGACTTGCTCTGCAACATCCCTGTGTGATGAGGTATAATTTCTAAAATGGAAATTATGTGTGGCATAGAAACAACAGAAATTATAAGACACAAACACTTACTGGTGGTGTTGTTTTGCCCTTGAACCCAAGATGAAAAGCGTACACAACGCAAATGAAAGGCTTTCCATGGTGCAGCAGGCAAGGGCAAACCCAAACCATTCTAGGATTTCTCCAAAAAAGTTGGCTCCACTGACATACTCAAACATTCCTCCTAAAAGCAAGACAGAGTTATCTTAAAAGCATCATAATAAAGATGTCCAATGCTGTCTTTTACTGTAAGTTGAATAAAAGCTGTACCACCAATGTCTCTATATAATTTTAAAGGCAGTGGCAGCATTGTTTTACAGTTCAAGCTGTACTATGAAGGATCACTTCAGACCTCATTTTAGCCAGAGCTTCTCCAGCTCCCTTTTTCCTCAATAAATAATGGAATAAAAGCAGATGTCCCAGTATCAGAAGCTATTTTATGCCTCTTTAAATAATTACTTAATGATATTTAGCTCATTCTTAGATCATAAAGTAAACCTTTTTTAAGATATGTGAAAATAGAAAATATGTTCCCCTTTAAGGGTCCCAGAAAATACTACTAGGGTTAGTTAGAATACAATGTTGAATTGCTTTAATCCAAGTACTTCAGAAATTAAGTTATTAAGAACAATATTATTATTATGAATTAAAGTTGCAAATTTATGAACTAGTTTAACATGTGTTGTCCTTTTGTTGCCATTCAGTCCTGACACTCAGTGAAAGAAGTAATTGGCAATCTACATTAAATGTGTTTTACAGTAAATTATGCATAAACAGAACTCACCAGCTGGGAATTATTTTATAAAATAAGAACTTTCACCCTAATTCCAAAGTTAGTGTACAAACTGATAACATCTCAATATATGCTTTACCAGTGGGACTAAACAAATGAGTATTTGCCAAGTGTAATAAAGGACATGTTTGGACCTTGCTTTATTTACTTTGCTTTTGCAACAGGAAAGAATTCTAGCACTTAAATTGGATAAGCAATATCAAAAAGACCATCTCCTTCCGATCATGCAGCAAATAACATCTTATTTCCTTAAGAACTTTTTAATCTACTGAACACAGCACAGTACGTTCATCTTCATTTTTTGACATGAGCACTTGGATTTACATCTATTAAAGAAATGAAATTATCTTCTTGGTGAAAAGTATCTATCTCATGTAAAAGTATCTATCATCTCATGTATCTAGTTCTTCCAGTTTTATTAAAAAAAAATATCTCACAAAAAGTCAAGAGAGCACAACAACTAAAGGAAAAACTCAGAAAACCAGCAGAATTCAGAGGTAATCATTATTTTCCTGCTTTCCCTGAATGTAAAATACCTGGAAGAGTTTAATCATTCCAAAAGTCTCAATAAGCATTAACACTTCAGTAGGCTACATAAACAGTCCTTTCATATTCTCAATTTTCCCCATGAAGGCAAGAAGTTATAATGCCTAAGTTCCTCTGTATTTCTGACCTCTCTTCCCTGTATCTCCCTTACTGCAGTAGTTGATGGTCTCCAGCTACCCAAGATCTCTACCTCTTCATACATAAAAGAACGTCAGATGGGCCAGCCATGCAGTTACTTAAGTAGCTGAGTACTTTCTGCCTGCCCCCCTGATACTGGGATGATAATTTAAGTCTTTTTTCTCTACCCATCTGGAATGCTATGTTACATTTTTACCACTTTACAAAAATACAGTCAAAGTTGGTCAAGAGATTCAAAGACTCACACAAGCCACGTCATATCATGAAATAGATCCTTTAGAATACTTGGCTTAAGAGGGTAAAACTAAAATTTTTCCCACACTATGAAATCACTTATTAAGGTAGACAACAGACTGCTATTTCCAGCTTCCTCTCTATCATAAGTGACTATTTCCCCTAAAATGCACCAAACTTTAGGTCAACTTTACACAGAATCATTTTAGGTTGGAAGGGACCTCTTGAGATCTTCTAGCCCAGCCATACCAGTTCAAGCAGAGTCAGCCAGAACAGGTTACCCAGGACCACATCCAGTCAGATTTTGCTTATTTCTACAGATGGAGACTCCACAACCTCTCTGAACAACCTGTTTCAATGATTGATGACTCCTTAAGAGCAAAAAATGTGTTCAGATGGAGTTTCATATGTTTTTCCCAGCATCTATGGTCCTGTCACTGGACACTGCTGAGCGGAGCTTGGCTCTCTTTTCTTCATTCTCTCCTATCAGGTATTCATATACATCAGTAAGATCCCCATGAGCTTTCTCTTCTCCAGGCTAAAGAGTCTCACCTCTCACAGCCTTTTCTCATGGGAGAGGCTTCTTTTGCTATATAAGTTTCTGCAACATTTTTACTTACCTCTTGGTATCTTATAACCAGTTTCCCCTGGTTTTCTCAGATTTCTGAGAATATGATCAGAATGAATATTGATTGTCATGCCAATCAACCATCCTATAACACCTAAAAAGAAATATTCAAAATAGTATCTTTAATACACTGAGCTGAAATGCTTGATCAGAAAACAAGCTACAGTCATATATCACATTAGGAATACTATCTTAAAGCAGTAATAATGTACACAGTATAAGCAAGTCTGGGGACATCCTGTACAATCCCAAGCCCACACTGAGCTCTTCAGTCAGCAGAGCTCACAGTAATCAATAGGTCTCTAGACAGGAACAGTAACGTAAGTATATAGTTTATTCTTGTTGCTAGGCTTATATAAAAGTATGCATGTGCACATATACAGATGTAGTATGTATATTTCCTTAACTTCCACATAGAAAATCAAATAGATAAAAATTTTAAACGTTAAAAATTCAGCCATTCTCATTCCTGCCAAGACTGCATCTTGGTGCTCCCCCTCCCCTTTTGGTTTTTTTTTATACTGACAATATACCAGCATTTCTGCAGCAGACCTCTTTGCAATAAAAGGAATAATGAAATTGTGAAGGAATTGTACACTGTTTACTGCTCTTGGCTTTCATATGGTTCTCCTTCCATACAGATAAATCTAGTGGTGAGACCATCTCAGCAAGGACCTGGAGTAGATAGCTGGATGTATAATGCCATGTTGCAAGAATAGTAGGCTGTCAGAGCATACTTTACCAAGACTTAAGCTACATTTTGAAGTGAAACTACATCTGTAAGGGGACCTTGCCTAACAAACAGGTTAGATAGGCAGCTTTCTTCTCTCAGTCCCTTGTGGGCTGTGTTTACCTAAAGGACCTAGCTGTCTGCTTCCACATGGATTAGGACAAAACGACTGCACTGCAGAGAAATGGAGGTTTCTGTGTGAAAGCTCTCTCCATATTTACCTATATAAATAAAAAATGTTGCTTGATTAGCTTGTTAGAACCTGCTTACATTACAAAACTAGTAGCAGAATGTGAACAAGCATGTTTCTTAACCTTTTGTTCGTACAACGGTGCAGTAAATTTCCATTATCAGTCCAGGTCTGTAAATGCCATATGTAAAGTGTCTTTTGTAGTGAAATTTTCTCATAATCCTTTCAACTATATTTTCAAGGTAATTACAGCATCACAAGATAGATTAGACCAATGTAATGAGGAATTTACAGACCAATTCATATAATGACAACATTCAAAAATTCAAGGTGAATAATTCAAATGCTGTTGAATTCTACTTTTAGGAAAACAGATAATTTTATCTTTTTTCCTTCAAAATGGATATCTATCTAAACAGAATATTGAATATCTATGGCATCCAGCAACAAAAATAGTTTGCTTCTCGTAGCATTAGTAATTATGTATCAATTTACTAGTTGCCAGAGAAGATTGAGAAAAGAAGGAATGTTATTCATAAAACAAAATAATCAAGTCGTTATCTCTATTCATACAATAATTAGAAGGGACATTTCTTAACAAGCACACAGATTAATTCTACTTAAATGTAAACAATATTTCTACTAATTTACTTCAGTATTAGCTTCAGGAAAAATCTATACTGAAAGTTAGTATCAGTTCTAGAAAGAACACTAAATTTCTTTCTCAGGAGAAGAAATTAGAGACCCTTTGATTTCTCTGACATGCCACTGTAATTTTGGAGAATGTTATCTGTGTATTTTGTATTAGTATCTGTAAACTAGCCCAAGAACTACTAAGAATTTTTCAGCTAAAGCAAAAAGACTGGAGCTTGCTTTAAGAGTGCTCAATTACTAAAGAAGATTACTTTGATTCTGTGCATTTTTTCCTCCTTACTTGAAAACTACCACATGTCAGAAGGATACAATCAAATCTCTCTTCATGGACAACAAGCCGATGAATGTACTGCATCTGAAGCAGAGCATTTCTACTTCCTCTGAAAACAGGCTACTTCACTGCACTAACGCACAGTCCAGAGGAAACCACATCAAAACTGTACTGCTGCTCCAAATCAATTGCTAGTGTAGATGCAGTGTAGTGTGTAGATGTAATTTTCCAGCATTAACTCCTGAACATCAAAAAACGACAGTCAATCAGCATGCTAAGGCTCCACAGACAGAGAACACAGCAGTTGTTTGAAATGGCCCACCATGATGGTTAATCAGCCTCACTTCTCCAGATTTCTGTCTTCCATGCAAATTTATCTAGTTTCAGCTTCCAACTACTGAACTTGTTTGGCTGCTACTTCTAGACTCTCTCCCATTTCTCTTCCTCACATAACTTCAAATAGACTGAAGTATCTTGTCAGCCCTCAGCAAATATGCTTTCTTGCTATTGCTGTTTTCTAATCTACTCTTTTTTAAAAAACAAAAAAATTAAACAGAGGCTTAAAAACACTGCCAGATGTTTTTGAAGAACTAGAACATAACAGTCCAGTTATTCAGGGAGCATCCCGTGTATAATACAGGACTTCTGCATTTGAATAACCAAAGCTACAAACTGCAGATATTTTTGGAGGTATCCAGCTGGGATGAATACCAAATAGCAATCATAAATATCTGCTATGTTCCAATTTTGTTGGTGTTCACTACAGAGCAAAACCAAAAAAGTCCCAAAGATGTTCTAGTTACAGGAATAAAAGAAGGATGAAGTCTTAGGTTTGGCTGTCAAACTTTATCAAAAGGTCTGTTGTAATAACAGTTACAAAAAAGCCAGCAAGGGGCACTATTAAAATGGAAGCTATGTATACCAGGAATCTTCACTTCGTTTTCAGAATAACTTTTTAAAGTAATATTTTGACTTAAAATTGTCACGAAAACAACACTTTGCTTACGAATAGCAGTACTGGAAATAAATATATATATAAGCATATATTCCAAACAGCTATTATTTGAAAAAAGCAAGCAAAAACCCACCCAAAACCCCCAAACCAAATGAATTCATGCACAGAAGTATTCCTAACCAAAGGCAGGTGAACCTAAATATTATCATTTATACATTTATATCTTTCAGAAATCCTTGAAACTAAAAAAAACCAAAAACCAACAACAAACAAACCAAAGACAAAAACACACAAACACCACACCAAGGAAATGTGAACAACATCTTATTAACTTATCTTTCAAGATAGGTCAGTAAGGAGGAATTAAGTCATGACTCCTGACTCATGACTTGTTTACAGGAACATATTGCGATATCTTTTGATTAAGATACTAAACTAGGACACTGGAAACAATGTCTGCATTGCATCAGTCTTCAACAGTTTTGATCAATAAATCCTTTAATCAGTTTTTTTGTTAGGTCCAAGTTTAAAGAGATTGGAATTTCAAAAGGTATCAAGAGGATTTCAAGTATATTCAAGTGCCTAGTGCCCAGTGAAGTTATTCGCTTGTACCTCAATTTCTGCATTTTTATACAAATAGTACTTGGCAAGAGAATACATTTCAATGTAGATTTCTTCAATCTTATAGACATGACAGCATCTAGTACAGCACTCCTCTAGTCAATTGCAATAAAACCGTAATAAAGAGAAAAACTCTTTATTCTTGCTGTACAAGGCTTGAGAAATCTGTGAGAAACACTAACTTGCCCTGGCTACAGAATAACAACTGGCACCGGGTCAGATCAAGGACCTACACAGCCCAGTATTCTGCTCTTGACTTCATATCATCTTCATATCAAAAAGATCTTTCTGTAAAGATCTCCTTGGAAAATGAGTCTGTTTTTGACAGTTGGCAAAAGTAATTGCCTAGGAAATGAAAAATAGGGCAAAGACAATACTTTGTCACTAAACACCTTAGCTCCTCAGTGATATACATGGCTTCGAGTACGAATGCAACCTCGCCTCCCAATAGGAGTGGATGATTAAACCCACCACTCCCTTCCTTGCTGGGTGGCTTTGTTCTTTGACAAAGTCCACTCCTGTTATGAAGGTGGGTGGGTTGGTGCCCACGTGTGCATGAATGTGCATGCATCGGTAAATATGCGAACGCCAAGGACTTTTGCCATTAGAAGTGGCAATCAAGGTGACAGCCAGCCACCTAGCACTGCCATTGTAGAAAGAAGTGTCAGTTTACAGTTGTAAAATAAAAAAGGTTTAAAGGCTTCCAGCTGCAGCAAACAAGATAATTAACTATGAAAAAAAGTTATAAAACGGGATTGAAGACAAAGGAAAACTACACCTGATGTTTTAACTCACCTGTAATGAAACATGGATCTTTTAACCAGCCTGAGGGGTATTTTGCATAGTTGCTTAAGCTTCGGCCTTGCAAGTATCCATTATAAACACAGAACAGAAGTGCTAGCACAAAAGTGAAAAATGGTGTTGGTTTTCCTTCCCGAATGAGGAGAGGAAATATGAGTGCCCTATAGTGAACAAGGAAAGAAAAATTGTTGCATTAACGAACAGAAAAAAATACTTTGTGTCCAAAACTGCAATTCATAGTCCACATTAAGGTGCTTTCCAAATTCTCAGTGGTGTGTTTGATCCCAGTTCGGAAGGATAGTTATTTGCTCTAACACCTAAATGTTAATTTTGTTGCCTAATCAGAATTAAAAGACGAGTTGTCTCTTCACAGAAATTTTAAACTTTGTATCCAAGGCAATTACTTTTACCAGAGCAGTAAAGGCAACTGACATTAAGCAGAGCACAACTTTGCCGTGCTTTGTTCCTAATCCTCAGGGGTACCATCACGCTTTCTGAAACGCATCAGATCTCACAATCCCTACAGCAAATTCACAGGCACTTCTGGGGGGGAAAGTCAACCCCCTCGAAATTAACCTAATGGAGCTCAGTTTCCTCCTTGCCCTGAAAGACACTTAAAAATGTTAATTGCTTTGCCTTGACAACCTTGGTCTACCCTGGGACACCTGTCCACACCTGTGGACAAATCCACAGCTGCCACCCCATTTGGGAAAGGAATCTTGATTGCTCTTCTTGGGGGATTAGGTAGTTAAACAAACAAGCTCCAAACAGGAAAAGCAGGTGAATGCTTTCATGCTCTGCCTCACATAAGCCAACTCCCCATCGCCTATCAATTTAATTACAATCTATAATGCTAGAGGAGCAGGATTACTGAAGCCTGAGCATTTCTCACATGTTTTCCAGATACCCAAGGACTACTGCTTCAAAGGAGCCATTCCAGAGGAAGCAAAACCATAACAGCTTTCAAGACAGTGTAACAAATTCAGTAGTACAATTATTTAAATCCTGCTACATTACAAGAAGCAGAATTGGATAACAGAGGTCTCTTCCAGTCTGTGATCACCTACAGAACAGTCCCTCAGCCTGGGAACAGCAATAAGTAACTGGAAAAAAGAAACTGGAGTACAGCTCAGCTTTCTGTACAAGCCTTCACCTTGCATTTCCAGCTTTCCCCAGACATTAACAATGAGTTAAGATCCCACGCCAAAGCTGACCTCTTTACTCTTAAGAATGGTAAAAGAGGGAGCAAAGAGACACTCCTGGGTTTGCAAAGCCAGCCAGCCACCTGGTCACATGTATGGTGCATCCCTCTCAACCAGAAGGATGCAAAATACTTCTGGTCAAATGCAACAGCCGTTCACAGTAAGCACTGGAAAACAACTGCCTGTCAGCCACATGCTTGGCTTAAAATGAGCCTGACAGATCTATCTCTGCTGTATTAGTATGACGGCAAAATTACTTGTGGAGTATTAATCAGTAACTGACTTTTAATGACTTGAAAGGAACAGCAAAATCTTACCTGAGCTCCAGCTAAGCTGTCTTCTACTAAGTAGCTTTACAAAATATCCAGAAACCATGGCAATGTGGGGCACACAACCTCAGCTTTACTAGTATTTTAATGAATTATTGAATATCCCGAGCTGGAAGGGAGCCACAAGGACCATCGAGTCCAGCTCCTAAAATGAGCACTATGTTGAAAGATATACTTGGAAAATAGTTACTGTTTCACAATATTAAGATTACGTTATATCAGCATCCAGAGCAGAGCTGTGTCCGTAAGTTTACCTGGTTAAGTCAATGCTCAAACGGGGGCAATTGCAAGAACTACAGGTGATGGGGCTCACTAAGGGAGCACCAAACATCCCATTTTTATGCTGTTTCTGAAAGGCGCTGTAGCACCACACAGCAGCGAAACAAAGCAGCAAGCACTGCTCTGCCACAACGACTTGCTCAGCTCATGCAAAAACACAGAGCATCTTAATGCAAAGGAGCAGAAAAGACTTTTGTGATTATTACACTAAGTAATGAACACTAATTAACAGCAGATTTTCCATCCCTGCAGTCAGAGAAAAAAGGAGTCAGGTGTTTTTATCAGGCGCTGCCACAGAACCGCACTTCTGCCATCAGCCACCCCCCAACACCCCGCTTTTCGGGGCAAGCCTGAGCAGGAGCACCCGGAGGGAGCTTCCCTACCCCCGTCCCGGTCGAAGGGCCGCACCTGTGCGCGTAGTGCACGGCGAAGCATCCTAGCAGCAGGCGGTTGGGCCAAGCGGCGGTCTCCTCC